CCTTATTTTCAATAAGCAATCCTGAAAAATATTTGGGGGTGCTTAACCTTTTTCCAGGTGTATATATTCAAGATATTATTTTGTAATTAATCTAGATCAACAAAGAAATATTTGATATATGTACAAGTATTGTTCTAATGTATTATTTTATTGGCAGATTCTTTTTAATTATTTGGCGGGGAAAATAATACAATGCCCATTACACATAACTATAACAGATTAGTTTCTTTAGTCCTTAATGTTTGTTACAATCTATGTTCACTTTGACACAAGTTGTAGGCTCTAGTTCACCAATAACATTTTCACTTTCAACAGAAATTTACCCACTAACTTAAAAGTAAACTTGTACAATCTCACTGCTAATTGATCAATTAGGCCCGGCATGGCCAGGTGGTTAAGGCACTCGACTCGCAATCTGAGGGTCGCAGGTTCGAATCCCTGTCACACCAAACATGCTCCGCCCTTTCAGCCATGGGGGCGTTATAATGTGATGGTCAATCCCACTATTCATTGGTAAAAGAGTAGCACAAGAGTTGGCGGTGGGTGGTGATGACTAGCTGCCTTCCCTCTAGTCTTACACTGCTAAATTAGGGACGGCTAGCGCAGATAGCCCTCGTGTAGCTTTGCGCGAAATTCAAAAACAAAACAAACAAACAATTGATCAATTAAATGAATATATGTGATAACTAACACTGATTTGAATACATTACATTGACTGGTACTCTACTAACTAAAACTGAACTCAATGCTTCATTGATTCTCATATTTATAATGTAGCTTTTTTTTTCTGGACATTTTGCAAAGTTTTTGATTATTTACATTCACAAACGTTCTAGGTGTTCTAGGACTGCTTTCATAAACTGACTTGATGTCATGTGACCTCTACCATATATTTAAATCAAAACAACGAAAATATATATTACATCAATATTTAATCCTACTGCTGTATGTCTTTTTACACACATGTAGTATTTTAGAGATTTAATCGAATGTTTTGTTTTTAACAATATTATGGTTTTTATTCATAAAATTTTCAAAAGTAGTAATGAAAGTATGTTTTCCAGGATTATCTTCTTGGCTGTACATCTTCACAGAAAAGTCCTGACATGGATGATGAAGGCAAAGCTACATTACTTGAAGTAGGTCACTGTATAATATTTAAAACATTTCATGAGTTATAGTAATTTATGCATCACTGTTTAAAATCTAATATTTCTGTAACATAGAAAATTAAACTCTTTTAATTGTAGAAAAGTATTATCTGTGAGTGGAAGCTATTAACATATTAATTTATTTGTTTCTAGGAATGGTTCACTCATCTTTAAGGTGAAGTGGTTTTTCAGTTCATAAGTACCATTAAATAACCTTGATTAAAAACAACTAAAATTATTTTCTGTTTTGAGTTCATAATTATAAAAGTTAATTTGTCCTTATTAAAGAAGATCCCTTTTCTTGTTCTCATATGTATTGCACATTTTATTACTTCCACGTGTATTGCACATTTTATTATTCTCACATGCATTGCACATTTTATTATTTCCACGTGTACTACACATTTTATTATTTCCACGCGTATTGCACATTTTATTATTTCCACGTGTACTGCACATTTTATTACTTCCACGTGTACAGCACATTTTATTACTCTAACATGCATTGCGCATTTTATTATTTCCACGTGTACTACACATTTTATTACTTCTACGTGTACTGCACATTTTATTATTTCCACATGTACAGCACATTTTATTATTTCCACGTGTACTACACATTTTATTACTTCTTTTATAGTGAAAATGCTCTTCCATGGTATTTGAGACATGCAACTAACTGTATAAGTTTTTGAGTTTACTAATTACCAAAATTAATTTACTTAGTAAAAGATATTATTTCTCTTAAAGTAGCAAACTTAGTATTGGTTATAATAGTTTTTTGGAAGGAAACTAAGATACGCTACTTACTTACTTATATTAGCTTTTCCACCATAATACTCCCCAGTAATATTTCTGTATTAATTTTATAAAGTAAATCCTAAAGTTGTGTGATAAGTATCTTAATCTGAAAATAAACTCAAAACGTGATGTGAATATGTATCTTTGTCAAAAACTTTAGAAAGTAAGTTCTGGGTGTGGTTTCAGTGGAATTTTTTACCCTTACCTCTTCAGGAAAAAAAACTATTTATTTTACTACTTGTGTAAGTTATAGCTGAGAGACAACGTATGAAAAACATCATAACACTTATCTCTTGCTGTTTTAGGGCACTTTTCCTTTAGTTTACCTCTTGCAGAATATCATTACCTACATATGCCACAAGTGTTTTTCATACACACCAAAATAGTTCTTCTGCAGAAATACGATCTAGCGTCTTGTGAGACTAATGAAGTAGTGTTATTGAATATTTGTGGGATGATTTTGGGACACGTGATTCACAATCTATGTGTTGCATAATTTAAACTGGTCTTCAAATATGCTCATCTTTTCAGTCGTGGGGGTATTATAATGTGACAGTCAATCCTACTATTAATTTGTAAAGAGTTGGCAGAGTGTGGTGTTGACTCCTTGCCCTTCCCTTTAGTCTGTTACTTTAAAATGAGGGATGGCTGGTGCAGATAAGTCTCAAGTACCTTTGTGCAAAATTCAATAAACAAAAAAATATGTATGAATATGTTATGGAATAATTTTTACATTTTTTTCTGTAAATTAACAAGAGAATGTACAAATATATAATCACTCTAAAAGAAAAACAAATCGTTAAGTAGATCTAAGACCTGATGCTTTAAATCAAATTTAGAATTACAAAATAACTATATTTCTGAGGGAAAGAAGTATCATATTGTTTTGTAAAGTAATAATGGAAGACATATTTTTTGTTACTTTTTACAGGAATTTTTCTCAGCAACTAGAATAGCAGTTCCGGAGATGGAAGGAAGCCTCTTTTTAAAGAGTGATGGAAAAAAAGCATGGAAAAAGTACTTTTTTGTCTTGCGAGCAACAGGGCTGTACTATAATCCTAAAGGAAAATCAAAGGTGAGTATTATTAACCACAAAATTATGTTGCTGTATTTAAAACTTTACTGCTGGCACATTATTGATGTTTTTGTAAATTATTAAATACTTTGTATCTACTCCATTTGTACACAATTTATTTGTTTTTCTATATCTATAATCTTTGCTTCAGATTATGGTTCATTGTGAAGTGAAACTTTCAAGCATAGATCAATAATGCATGATATCTTGGATGTTAACAACCTCATTCAACCTGGGGATAAGCAGTTATTGGTCTTTTTAAACATGATTTATTTAATCAATATTCCTCTCATTAGAAAATTACGCTCGTCTAAAACTGCTTATATATTATACAGACTTTTTTCTGTATTCACGTGTGCATACCTAGTTTACTTTTATGCATGATGTTAGGAAAACACATAAGATCAAGAAATCAAGTTAACTCTAAAATACCCTGTAACCCGATCACTTTTGAAGGGTGGCCCTTTCTTCTTCAGTGGCAAACTAGGAATGACCATATAAAGCAAAGTGTGAGATGAAGTGAAGTTTAAGTGATGTCATGCACACTACCATGGAATTCCGAAAGTGCTTTGAGTAGCTTTCGATGTATTGTTATAAGTGTATCTCATTTCTGGTGATATATTACCAGAAACAAGAATTATAGGTGTAAAGAAGTAAGAAATGTATTATTTTAAAAAGGAAAAATGGTCAAGAGAAAACTAAACTACGTATTAATAAAGTAAAATAAAAGTTAGATTTGAAGATTGATTAAAAAAAGAGGTGTTAAACAGATATAACTAAAAAATAACCCAAAAATTTTCATAAATAAGTAATAAACATTAAAAATATTAAAGAGAAAGTTTCAGGATTCATACTACATGAATAAAAAGAAAAGCGTAAATTTTCTGACAGAACAAATTAATTCCAATCACTTGTATGGATGTAGATCAAGTTATTTAATGAAGAAGACTAATAGTCCTGATGCCTAATTTGTTTACAGTGCTTGTTTAGAAAACGTATATTGCAGAAACGCATTGTTCTTTTTTTCTGTGAGTGTGGTTTAAGATTATGAATTCATGGACTTCCTGTGTGAACTTGATTTGTGAGCTCACTTCCTGTAGCCCAAAGCCACTTCCTTGTTTTGAATTTTATCCTATTTTAATAGATTGTATAATTATAATAAAAAATGTATGTGATGAGTTTTGATCAAATTTAAACGAAAAGTCTCATAGATATTTCTCTCTAATATAGAATAACAGCAACCTTTAATATTTATAATTATGGAGGAAGATGTTTATTATTGTTTGAGTAATATTATCATTTCTTTATTGTGAAACTTTCTTTTATCACTAATGTTTTAGTATTTTGCCATTGAATTATTGAGTTAGTTAACATTTTACAATAGAGATTTTGTTTTTATTTTATTCTGCTAGGTTTTCCTAAAATGTTTCTTTATTGTGTTAGTGATGATTTTGTTGGCTTCTTGAATAGCTCTCCAAAGACTTGGTGTGCCTAACCAGTTTTGAAGAAAATAATGTGTACATAGGTTTTAATTGGAGAAAAAAATACAAGTCACCCACTGACTTTGGATTTGCTATAAAGGTAATTCGTTTTTTTCTAACACATCAAAAACTTCCTAATTTTTTATTCTATTGATTATGTGTAGCATAAATATAACTGTAATTTATCTTAGTTACCCCCACCCCCTCAAAACCTTGCTTTATGATGAAAGATAGTACGGAGAAATGGTAAGGAAGAGTGGGTTGGTGAAATGTGAAATTAGTTTTTGTTTGTAAATTTGTTCACATTTTTCAAATTATTATTAATATTCATAATGTACTGAAAATGTAGTTTCTGAGTTTGTGCTGAGATTAATTGTAATATGTTGCAACATTTTAAATTTATTCATTAGAATTCAGAAATCCAGATAAAATGTTGCAGGAGTATCAAATTTTTGTGTGCTGAAGATTCCCATACCTTGAAGCTCTGGATGACTGGAATACGTATAGCTAAGGTAAAGGAGCTGCTTTATATCTCTTAAAAAAATTTTTAAACATGTACCCCTTAATTTGTATGACGTCTTAAATGAATACTACTATTCTTAAGCCTTTTGCTGTTACTTTAAATCTTACAGGATGAACAAAAAAAAAATGAAGTAGCATTCATAATGCCTAGTAAAGATGAGTGCTCTGAGGATTTCTTTTATTGTAATATTTTTTATTTGAGTACCTATTTTGGATTATAATATCAATTAATAGAATTTATCTTGATAACAAAATGTTTGGCATTTGTTGGTGTTAATAGGATACTCTTTATATTACAGTTTTTTTTTTGTTGTTGTTTTTTTTTTGTAGTATGGTCACCAACTAAAAGAAAATTATGACGGTGTAATAAGGGATATTGATGAAGAAGATATTGATACACTTGCTCATGCACGCAGCTTTTCTGTTAGTTCTATGGCTAAAACACTGTCCGTTACCTCTCGTGGAGTGGAAATCCCTGATTGTTGGGAGCCTTCAATTATTGAACAAAAGATAACATCCCATTTATCAGTTAGAAAAAATTCACAGTTTAGGCAAAGTCAAGGATCTGGTTCAGTAGGAAATCGCATATCCTTTGAACGTCGCCCACACAGAAGTTCGGTCATTCGACGAGACTCTATTAAGTCTAGTGCCAGTAGCAGTAGTAGTGGATGTTCTAGTGTAAGTACTCCTACAAATGACCAAATAGCCTTTGAAGCTGATTTTCCTGTTGGGACCATTAAACGTAAGCCAAGCATGGCACCAAAAATTCCCCTTACTAGTACAACTCGCACCATAGCCAAACAGTCCATGTCTGATGACTCTTGCAACAATGTTGTCAATTTGGATACAGTTCAGGAAAGTACCAGAAATCTCAGCTCTGTCAACAACACTCTTGGCCGAAACACTATAACCAGAATGAGCTTACGGCGATCTCATACTGAGGATAAAATTGATGTGAATGATGTGTCAAAAGTTTTTCAAAGAAAGCATTCCATTGATTCGGGCACCTTAACAAAGCAGGTTGAAAAACTTCAGGCTATTGCTAATGGCACTAGTGTCAAAATGTCTTCTGTTGACAGTTATAAAGAAATGGTGGTTAATAATTTCAGTGATGTTGATGACCTACCACTTCCTCCACCACCTCCAGAGCTTGAAACTAGGGAAGAAATTGTCCAAAGAGGTATTTTACCTTCCCCTCCACCAGAAGCTTTCAACAGTGAAGGTAGTACTCTCAGTTTGGACTCCCTACCTCCACCCCCACCACCACTTCAGTTGGATGATCAGGTTAGTTGGCCAAGCACATCCAGCATAAATTCTCTACCACCTCCTCCTAGTGCAAATACACAGAGCTTAGAAGATAGTGGGTTGCTCCAAGAGGGTTGTTATCCAACAAGTCAAGATGATTTGAAATTTCCACAGAATGCTCCCCTTGTACCACCAAAACCTAAACAACATGGCAAAGAATATAGGTCATCTGTAGGAGATAGTCCTTACTCCTCTTTGCCTCAGGTCCTGGCAGATGAGCAACGAGGTCAAAGTAACACTTCTCTTCGATCTAGCCAAAAGCCACAACAGAAGGAAGACCTTGCTGAAACTAGCTCTTGTGGAATTTCACCAAGTGCTGTAGCTCAGCAACAGTCCTTAGAACATCCAAGAAGGTTCAAAAATGGATCTCAGAAAAGAGGTATTTCATTTTGTCATAGTAATACTGAACCACAGCTCCCAAACTCTGACATTAGCAGCCCTACCCAGATACCTAACATTTACCAAAAACCAGAACCTCCCATAAGAAGTGAAACTACCAGACTGTCGCATCAGATTCCAGCTATAGACAAAGCTTCATATTCAAGAGGTAGCTGTAGTGGTCAAGGACAACTACAGCCAATTATTACTCCTCCTGAATATTTTCTCCGTGATCTGCAACGTGTCATGGAAAAGAAGTGGAAGGTCGCCCAACAATTATCAATAGATCTCACAGCAACTCCACATCAAATAATGGGTTTCAGAGACCCTTGTTTTTTGCCCCCTGAAAGTTCTGCTATCACCCATGCACCTCTTCATCTTCCTGATTCCTGCCATACCAATCACCATCCAAAACACCACCATCATCATCATCATCACTCCCACAAATCTACAGATGGGCATTCAAGGCAAACCTCTATGGCAAAAAAAAAGGCACCTCCACCCCCTCCAAAACGGAGTGAAAGCACTCATTTAACTAGAAGACAATAACTTTCACTCAAAACAGTGTGTGAATTGTTGATTTTGTGAATGTGATTGTTTTTTATTTGTAGTACGCTCTGCTTAACAATGCAAAGTTTGTTATAGAAGAGGTTAATTTGCAAGATGAGACTTATTAGATGGTGCTATGATAACTACCATTAAATTCCTGAAAAGGATAACAAAAAATTAAATAATTTCAGAAAAATTGACCATAAAGTTTTATTGGATTGTGATAAAAGGGAATATTTAGTGTGAACTTTTTAATTAAAGAGAAATTTGTATGTAAGTTAAAAAAAATTATTACATTTGCCTGACCTGACAAGTTTTATAGGTATGGTGAGAAATCGGTCAAGCCAATTTTGTCTGGTTTAAAAAAAAAAAAATCACTGTTATGTGAATGAACACTATAGTTAAGAGTGTATTATATTTGTTGGTTTTTTTACAATGTAAAATGTTTATGTGAGTATATGTTCCTTTGTGAAGATAGACTATAAAAAAGAGATCTTCAGTTAAACAGTTAAAAATATATTACATATATGTTATTCTACTGCTAAAAAAAAGGGTAAATTAAGAAACAATACAAGTTATTTTTAGTCAAACCATTTTATCTTAGTTAAATCAAGTGGGCTGAAATTTTGACTTTTTTTTTTAAGAAACTAGTAGTATTTAATTTGATGCTGAGTTGATTATTTTAATGAACCAAAGAGCTTTTCAAATCCTGGTAGTTTCTATTTAGTCACAGTTTTACAAGAAACGTTTATTTTGCACATTACTACTCCTAATTTTTCAAGTAAGTTAAAATATACATGAGTCATGAGATTATTACTTTTGGACCTATATATATATATCTTGGACAATACCCTTTGAACTTTACAAAATAGTATTAGTTTGATAATTTTTAGTTTTTATTTTAGTTGTTTCAATAGACCGTTTAAACTGAAAGTTGTTTGTAATAGAATTTTTGCTTTTTTCTTTATTGTGGTTTTGATTTTCCTTATATGCAGATTTGTAACTGGAAATTTGATATTTTTAAAGTAAACATCAATACTTTATTTGCTGCTTTTATTTTATTTTTTTAAATTTTTAGTGTTGTATGGATCCATAGCTTTTTTTGTATACCATAAACTGATGAAGATCTAACAGCAAATATTTTGTTTGTAAAATTTTCTTAAAAATTCTACAATAGTATAAGATGAGGTCTGAAGAGAAATGTCCATTCTTTTACACCTGCTGGACAGGGGGTAAATGTGTTTTTTAAAATTAAATATTATATATGAAGTAAAAGATATAAATCATTTATGTACAAAGGCATCTCTCTAAAGTAGTTAAAGTAGTGAACTGTTTGTTCCCCCTTTTCTCTAACATAATACCACATATATATAATTGCTTTTCTGTTAAGTGGATGTTTTAAGTATGTTTTAATATTCAAATACCCTGTATGTACTAGTGTGTAATACTTCTTTTTCAGCTTTTTTTTACCTATTTTTTTGTTTTTAAAAAGAATTTAGCATGGTTTTGACTGTGATTAATTTTGAAGTTCAACTATTTCTGTGGCAGTTAACATTGATTCAGTTATAACAGCATGTCATGCGCACTAATTATTAATATGTGATTCACTATTAAAAAATACGTCATTTGTATTGAATGCTCAATCCCTCCCCACTTTTTTTCAGGTATCTAATTGAGATTTGGGTTTTCTGGCACAGTTGTGTAGGCAAGCAAAGTCAACTTTAAAATATTGAAATCACACACCTTAGATATAAAAAAAAAAAAAATGTCTACCTATTATTCATCATGATACTGTATGTTTTTTAATTTTGAATGAGGATGTGAATTAGTGATAAGACATTTGATGAAGTGGTTATGAAACCTGTATGGTACCATCATATTTAATTTTCCACATTTAATAAGCAATAACATTAAATTAAATAGTAAAGTTAACTTAATATGTTTATGAACATAAAATCAATGCTTTACCAAAATGAAGGTCATACTAGGTGTGAAGGTTTTTGTGTGGTTTGTTAGATGACTTCTGTATGCTTATACTAGCACTGATACAGGTTCTAGACATTGAAGCCAATTTATTGTGTTACAATTTTTTCCGTACTTAATCATTTGGAACTAATACGTAGCTTGTATACAACAAATTTCAGAATATAAAAGGATTGATAACATTTATCTGGTCTGAAGATTAAAACCTGTTAGGAAGCATTCATTCTTACGAGTTTAAATAGAATTAACCGGACTTCGGTGATTGTGAAGACTGATAGATTTCGGGCTATCAAAAAAGCTTCTCCTTTCTAACTTGATAAAATTATCTTGTCATATTAGTGTCTGGATGACACTCTTTCAGGCTGAGTAACAATATAAAGTGGTAACTTGTTCAAATTAGTCTTCTGTTTGCAGTAATGTGTCAAATTATTTTGAAGAGGAGCATAAAGAATAAGGTTAGATTGAATGATGAGTAAAGTTAATTCAAGTAATAATAAATAGTTTATGTTAAAATTAATAAATAATATTGTGTTGTTAATCCTTACCATAATTCTATTTTTAAATGGCTTCACCTTCTTAACTTAATTCATGGCATAACAGTTGTTTTTCATGCAATTTGGCCTGCTATTGGCTCAGTGGTAATTCTGAGGGCTTACAATGCTTCAGATTTGGTTTTGATACTTGTAGTGCACAAAGCATACATAGTACATTGTGTGGCTTGGTGCTTAACAACAAATCATACAAATTGATGATATAAATAATATCTCGATCACTACTATGTCTGTCATATCTCCCAGCCAGCCAGATAAGCCTGGTATTGGGTGAATCTGCACTGGTTATAACAGATACAGTGCAGTTCATATATTGTTATACATTCTTCTTCACTTGTACGTTCTTAGAATTAGGTATAATTGGTAGAGGTACAATTCCAATGATCAAAGTTTTTGTGTTTGTGATGAACTTGTAGGGAATGGTTGACTATTTATCTCTGGTTTTAGCATTTGTTGGTTATTTTCAAGATACTCTAACTGATACATGATGAAAACATTAATCCATTATTAAGTACATCTTTTAAAACTGTTCTGCAACACTGTGTTGTTATATGCACAATAATATTTAATAGTATATGATAAAAACTTTTGAATTTAATTTGAGCATACTTACTTGAATTAATCATTTTGATAGTAATAAAAATAATCAAAACATTTACAGTAATTTTAGTCACCTCATTTGTTACTAGATTAAAGTCTCTGGTAATAGTAGCATTTTTCATCTACACGATATTGACTGGAATACTGTATGTGCAAGTTTCAGACAGAAGTTATTCAAATTATGAGGCCTACTTGATGTTTCTTCAAACCTATAAATTGAAAATTAGAGCGTTATTTAACAGTTTAGGCGTTATACAGGCTACGGCATAACCTTTAACACAAGGTTTTGCTTATTTTCTAGAATTTTTCACACACACACACACATTGAAAGAATCTTCATGGTTGGGCGTGTTCTATAATATTCCACATGCTATCCACAGTTTTAAATTACATATTCAATATTTTACCAACTTGGAATGGTAAAGTGATTAGGGTAGGGCAATAAATTTTAATTATATTTGCATTTTAAGTTTCATCAGTCGGTTAAATATACAGTATAAAAAACTGGTTTCTTCGACGTTTTTGCGCCTAAACATCCAGCGTTTCCAGTGAAAACTGATGCTTCATTTTAATTGAAGTCGTGAGTTTTCATAAGAAAATTACCTATATATATATATATATACAGCGTTTCACGTGGAAACATTTTTGTTCTTAATGATGTGATTGTTTTGTTTTATTAGAGACAACTCGCAGTGAAATTTACAAAAGGTTCAACATAATACAAAGCAGTAATCATGAAAATATGTTTTAACAACTAAATATTTGTTACTTTTTTTACTGTTTTATTATTTTTTTAACTGTGTTACAAGTGTAACGTATATACTCATATTTTAAACATTTACTAACACGTAGAACTGGTGTTCTTACCCTTGCTTAATTGTTGCGGTTATTGCCTGTTCGTTCAATCTGTGATTAATATTTTCGATTTTATTTTAGTTTATGTTATGCTGTACACTTCCCGTGATCAACTAATTCTGTACTTTATATTATATATGTATGTATTTTTAGTTGTATTTTACTCACCTATATTTATGTATCCTTATTGAAATAATAATCCAGAGTTAAATAACATTTCTAGTACAGACGGGAAAAGCGGGATCGACGATACGTTTGTAAAGTGCTGACATATCAAATTACTGCGATGCTTATAATTATAAGGCTTTGCTGGGAGTTTTGAATTTCTTTTTAAAAGCTGGAATATATTTTTAAAGTATTATTACTTATTTTAAGTCAAAGTGGATTAAGCCCACATATTTTTTTTCTATTTTTACTGTTTTATTAATAAGTTAGTAAAAGCTACATTTAAGTAAAATTATTTCGACATATGCTTATGATAGATGCCCGTATGTAAAGGAAATCGTTAATTAGCAGAGAGAACTAACCGACTGTGCAAGATCACACTAATTGAACTTTATTATTTATTATAACGTAGGCTAGATATTTCGACAGAAGTATGAAGTGTTGAAAAATTTTAGCGTGAGTAAAATATTACAATAGTTATTTCTGGAAATTTATAGGCGGAAAATATGTACGCTTCTTCTAGATGTGAATAGTAATAAACTTGTGTGTAGATAAATTAAATAACTATGTAGAACAACTCAGTATGAGAATAGCGATACTAAATAATTAATATTGTTTTCCGAAGCTGGTTTTAATGTTATATACATGTATGTATATATGTATACGTTGACATATAAAAAAAAAACTTTACATCCCATTTAAGTTTTGTATTTTAAAAGTATCTAATGTTATAAAACCTATTAGTACTTTTTGTGTGTGGTGATACAATTGAATGAATGTATGGTGCCTGTAGGTGTGCATAATAAAATATTTAAAACATACAACTATTTTTTGTTTGTTTATGGCGGTGACTTTTACCGCGATTTGTCATGGCTTGGTGGTAAGGGCGTTCGACTAGCAATCTGAGGTACGCGAGTTCGAATCTCCTTCACTGAACATACTCGGGATTCAGCCATGTGGGCGTTATTATGGTGCGGTCAATTCCACAATTTCGTTAGTAAAACGTAGCGCAAGAGTTGGCGGTGGGTGGTGTTTATTAGCTGCCTTCCCTCTAGTCTGTCACTGCTAAATTATGGACGGCTAGCGCAAACAGCCATCGTATAGCTTTGCGCGAAATTCAAAAGAAACCTACCGTTAATTGTTAAATACTTTATATATGCTATGAGAATTACCAAGTTTTGTAATTGTTATTACGTTAAAGACGTTATAATTACTAAAATTCCTAACGAAAAACTGAATCTATCGTGTGTTTTTTTTGTTTGTTTTGTTTTTTAGAATTAATTATAAGTCGTCAATATGTTGTCGTGGATTATCTTACTATAATGGCATATATATCTATTTATGTGACAGTAGTAATAAATTCAATGTAGCGCCATCTATTGAATGACGTCATAAATAAAAGACATAAACAAATTTCCCAGTTGGGTTATTCAAGATTCAGACAATTCGTAAAATAACTACGGTATCTGCAACAACCATTTCTTTATCACACAACACAATGTTCACTTGTACTGTACGTGAGGATTTGATTATATCTTTATTGATGTAATTTGTAAATATAGTAATAAAAATGGAGTTCTTAAAAAAATGTTATTTTATCAGTAAAGGGGTAGTAATTTTAATATATAAAAACATTACAGTTTATATCAGCACAATCCGGACACTTTTCCCGTCCCGTGAATTACTTTCCAGATAAATCCTTTTTTAGAAAATGTTCACATTTTCTAATTTGATTTAAATGAGGTATGAATACAACGATTAATAATTACTAGCACAAACAGCCTTTCTCCCTTGAAAAACAC